TTAAAAAAAAGCATTCTGACAGTTCAAATCATAGTACAAATGGCAATGTGCATAAAAAATGTAAAGCAAATGCATTAGTAGGCCTTGTACTGTCTTTAACTAAGAATAATAAGTTGGAGCGAAATATATACACTGGTAGCAAAACCAGCAATCTCCATAAAGGAGAAGTATTTACCATACTGTGTAATGTCCATTCCTGGCCTGGGGAGGGAACAGTGCTGTTTGAGCCATTACTACCCAGTCAGCTGCCTGAGGGTCTAGAAACATTCCCAACACTTGTGAATTTACAAATTGTGCATACAAAGCAGATAAGGATTCCTTTCCAGAACACCACCAAACATACGGTGTACCCTTCAACAAGGACCATGCTGGGTATGGGATTTTAGAAGAAATCTAACTGGATGAAATTAAAACTAAAACCAGTAAGAACAAAAGGAAAGAAAAGGTGTATCATTGTCAATACAAGCAAACTCCCAAGTCACAGGCCAAACGTGCAATCCACCATTGGATTTATAGCATCTCACAAAGGAACAGCAGACACTTGCTAGGACAATGTTATATGAATATTCAGAAACTTTTGCAAGAGAGGAGGGGGAAATTGGATGTATTCCTAATTTTATTCTTCAGATAAACTTTAATAGGACTTGGATTGGAAAAGGATAGGACACTAGTGCAAAAATCTTATAACTCCATACCAAAACCCCTGTACCAGGAAGTAAAGGCCTTTATGACTTAATATAAATCAGAAGAGGACATAAGAAGACAAGAAAGGGAGCTACAGTACATGGAAAGACACCTGTAAAAAAGGGAACAGCTCAACATTTGTCCACTAGGACACCGAGACAGGATGTCAGAACACCAGAAGGTTGTTGATAAGCTAATACTGATGATAACCAAACCTTCAATCCTTGACTATCCTGACTTTAGCTCTCCATTTATGTTACACACTGAGGCATCACAAGATGGCTTTGGCACAGTGCTTTGTCAAGGTCAAGAGGGCAAATTACAGAATTATAGGTTATGGTTCATGAGCACTGACACAATGTGAGAACTATCATCTGCATTCAGGAAAATCAGAATTCCTAGCTTTAAAGTGGGACATTTGTGATAAGTTTAGGGACTACCTGTACTATGCCACCTCGCTTATGGTCTATAGAGACAACAACCCATTAACATTTGTTCTCAGTTCAGCAAGACTAAACAGTGTTGGACATCGCTGGGTAGGGGAATTAGCTGATTTCTGCATTGACATCAAATATTGCCCAGGTAAAAAAATGCAGATGCTGATACCTTGTCTAGAAATCCACTATGCAGCCTTCAGGATGAAGAGTTTACAAATCTGATCACACCACAGACTATTTCTGCTGTATGGAAAGGTGGCAGGGCTGTGGTAGATGAGGAAGGTTCTCTGGGCACTGTCACTAGCTCTGCAAATAGTTTTCAAAATGATTGAAATTCAGGAAATAATCACAAAGGATAAACGTCATGCTGCCCAGCTGCAGGACAAGGCCAGACATGCTATCATTGACCTTAAGAATAAAAAAGCCTGAACCCACCAAAGTCGACAAGAAGTGCCTAGGTAGTAGAAAATGAAAACAACTCATGCATGACTAGAATAAACTGACCATATGACATTTTGTTACAACACAACAAAATAGTTATTCTAGAAAAAATTAATTCAGAGAGTTTTGAGATACCTACATAATGACATGGGCCTTTGTGGAGCAGACAAAGTAATACAGCTTAAAAGAGAGATTTTACTGGCCATTCATGCAAAAGCATATAAACCATTATGTCACAAAAAGAAGTCTTTGTCTGAAACAGAAACACCCAACAGTGCCAGAGCGGGGTACCTTTGGGGTGCATTAAATCTAGTGCTCCTTTGAACCTGTCTCAGTGGATTGCCTTTGCCTAGAGAAGAGAAGTATTGGTTACAAATACATATTGGTTATCATTGATCACTTTGCTTTGGACAGGCCTTCCCTGCACACAATAAATCAGGGAAAACTGTAGCAGAGAAGATTTTCAATGACTTAATTCCTTACATAGTTAGTCTGGCTGAAAAAAGACAACAGTCCATCCAGTTCTATCATTAAAAAAAAAAATAAGTTATAATTCTATACCCACAGTTGATCCAGAGGAAGGCAAAAAAAAAAAAAAAAAACTCAGCAAAGCATGATCCAATTTGCTCCTGCAGGGAAAAAGAATCCTTCCTGATCCCCCCAGAGGCAATTGGATATTTCCTGGATCAACTTTACCTATATATTTCTTGATTAGGATATCCTGAAAAATTACACATTAACAGGGCACAGAATTTGACAGACAACGTTTACAAAGATTGAGACTAGAGATGAGAGCGAATTATTCAAAAATTCGATTTTCGGCTGATTCGCCGAATTTGTGGAATAAATTCGATTCGATGCAAATTTATTCACTGCGAATTTAACTTATTAAAAAAAGGGTTTCTAGGTTTCAGAGAGCCTTTATATTAGTGCAGAACACTGTACCTTTAATTTAAATGCCCTTGGAGTCTGCTGGGGAAGAGAAATAATACTGTCAGTCAGTATGACATGCAGATGAGTGCCGTCGATCTTAGAATCACCGCACACTTCACTCATTTGGGCAGTCACGGGGCACGACGAAGAAGATGAAGAAGAAGATTAAGAAGAAGAAGAAGATGAAGATGAAGATGAAGATGAAGAAGAAGAAGATGAAGAAGAAGAAGAAGATGAAGAAGAAGAAAGAAGATGAAATGAAGATGATGATGAAGAAGATGATGATGAAGAAGAAGATGATGATGAAGAAGAAGATGATGAAGAAGAAGATGAAGATGAAGATGATGATGAGAAGAAGATGATGAAGAAGAAGAAAGAAGATGAAGAAGATGAAGAAGAAGATGAAGAAAGAAGACGAGAAGACGAAGAAGAAGAAGAAGAAGAAGAAGAAGAAGAAGAGGGGATAAGAAGAAGAAGAAATGAGATGAAGAAGATGAAGAGGATGAGAAGATGAGAGAAGAAGAAGGAAGAAGAAGGAAAGAAGAAGAAGGATAAGAAGAAGAAGAAGATAGAGAAGAAGAAGAAGAAGGATAAAGAAGAAGAAGAAGAAGAAGAAGAAGGAAGAAGAAGGAGAAGAAGAAGGAAGAAGAAGAAGAAGAAGAAGAAGGATGAAGAAGAAGAAGAAGAAGAAGAAGAAGGATAAGAAGAAGGATAAGAAGAAGAAGAAGAAGAAGACGGATAAGAAGATGAAGAAGATGAGGATGAGGATGAAGAAGAAGATGAAGATGAGGATGAAGATGAAGAAGAAGAAGAAGATGAGGATGAGGATGATGAAGAAGAAGAAGATGAGGATGAGGATGAAGAAGAAGAAGAAGAAGAAGAAAGAAGAAGAAGAAGAAGGATAATAATAATAATAATAAGAAGAAGAAGAAGAAGAAGAAGAAGAAGAAGAAAAAGAAGAAGAAGGATAAGAAGAAGAAGAAGAAGAAAGAAGAAGAAGAAGAATGAAGAAGAAGAAGAAAGAAGAAGAAGATGAGGAAGAAGAAGAAGAAGAAGATGAGGAAGATGAAGGAAGAAGAAGAAGAAGAAGAAAGAAGGAAGAAGAAGAAGAAAGAAGAAGGATAAGAAGAAGAAGAAGAAGGATAGAAGAAGAAGAAGATGAGGATGAAGAAGAAGAAGATGAGGATGAGGATGAGGATGATGAAGAAGAAGAAGATGAGGATGAGGATGAAGAAGAAGAAGGATAAGAAGAAGAAGAAGAAGAAGAAGAAGACAAGGAAGATGAGGATGAGGATGAAGAAGAAGAAGAAGGATAAGAAGAAGAAGAAGAGGATGAAGAGGAAGAAGAAGATGAGGATGAGGATGATGAAGAGAAGAAGAAGAAGAAGAAGAAAGAAGAAGAAGGAAGAAGAAGAAGAAGATGTGAGTTTTTGAAGAAGAAGAAGAAGAAGAAGAAGAAGGATAGAAGAAGAAGAAGAAGATGAGAAGAAGAGAAGATGAAGGAAGAGAATGATGAGAAGAAGAAGAAGAAGAAGAAGAAGGATAAGAAGGATAAGAAGAAGAAGAAGAAAGAAGGAAGAAGAAGAAGAAGGATAAGAAGAAGAAGAAGAAGATGAGGAAGATGAGGATGAGGAAGAAGAAGAAGAAGAAGGATGAAGAAGAAGAAGAAGAAGAAGATGAGATGAGGAGAAGAAGAAGAAGAAGAAGAAGATGAGATGAAGAAGAAGAAGAAGAAGATGAGGAAGAAGAAGAAGAGAGGAGAAGAAGAAGAAGAAGAAGAAGAAGGATAAGAAGAAGAAGAAGAAGAAGAAGAGAGGATAAGAAGAAGAAGAAGAAGAATAAGAAGAAGAAGAAGAAGGATAAGAAGAAGAAGATGAGAGATAAGAAGAAGAAGAGATGAGGATGAGGATGAAGAAGAAGAAGAGAGAGGATGAGGATGAAGAAGAAGAAGAAGGATAAGAAGAAGAAGAAGAAGAAGAAAACGAGGAAGAAGAAGATGAGGAAGAAGATGAGGGATGAAGATGAAGAAGAAAGAAGAAGAAGAAGAAGGAAGAAGAAGAAGAAGAGGATGAGAAGAAGAAGAAGATGATGAGATGAGGATGATGAAGAAGAAGAAGAAGAAGGATAAGAAAGAAGAAGAAGAAGAAGAAGAAGAAGAAGGATAAGAAAGAAGAAGAAGAAGAAGAAGAAGAGAAGAAGAAGAAGAAGAAGAAGAAGAAGAAGAAGAAGAAGAAGAAGAAGGATAAGAAGAAGAGAAGAAGAAGAATGAAGAAGAAGAAGAAGAAGAAGGATGAGAAGAAGAAGAAGATGAGGATGAAGAAGAAGAAGAAGGATGAGGATGAAGAAGAAGAAGATGAGGATGAGGAAGATGTGAAGAAGAAGATGAAGAAGAAGAAGAAGTAAGAAGAAGAAGAAGAAGGATAAGAAGAAGAAGAAGGATAAGAAGAAGAAGAAGAAGAATAAGAAGAAGGATAGAAAGAAGAAGAAGAAGAAGATAAGGAAGAAGAAGAAGAAGAAGAAGAAGGAAGAAAGAAGAAGATGAGGATACGAGAAGGATGAAGGATAAGAAGAAGAATGAGGAAGATGAGGATGAGGATGAGAAGAAGAAGTAGGATGAAAATAAGAAGAATTCCAGTACAGCAAAAAGTGTATCTGCAGAGAGCTCCGCTATTTCTGACAGTTCTCTGACAGTTCCTTCACATTTACAGCGGTTGAAACATTGTATCTATTTGTTTCCGAATAAAAACATCTGTATTCTAAATGGAAACAAATAGATACAATGTTTCAACCGCTGTAAATGTGAAGGAACTGTCAGAGAACTGTCAGAAATAGCGGAGCTCTCTGCAGGGACACTTTTTGCCGGCTGTAGAAGGGATGAAAATCGGCCGATCGGGAAAAAATTCGATTCGTGCATCCGAAGTTTGCTAATTTTCGGATTCGGTGCGAATCAAATTTTTCCTAATATTCGAAACGAATTCCACTTCGCCAAGTTCGATTCGCTCATCTCTAATTGAGACAATTGTCTGGAATTACACATTCTAGAATAATGCCATATCATCCTCAAAGCAACCCCACTGAAAAATTGATTAGAACATTATTGCAACTGCTTTGTACATTGGAAGAGGAAAAGAAAGCTCAGTGGAAAGAGTATTTACCACAAATAGTCCATGCATATAATTGTACTAGACAAGTCAGTTGGCTATGCCCCTTACTTTCTTTTGTATGGCAGAACACCCCTTTTACCAGTGGATCTGTTATTTGATATATATGTTGAGAAAGAGGAAATTTAACCCCAGCAGGATGCTGAAAAATGGTCTATCAAGATGAGAGAAGCTTACAGAAATGCTTCTGAGAATAGCCAAAAGTTCTCTCAGAAAGGTAAAGGTACCATGCCCAACGCACAAAAGCAGTGGCACTACAGGCTGTAGACCATGTTCTTGTAAGAAATTTGTAGGAACGGGAAGGACCAGGAAAACTGAAAGGATACTGGGAAAAGGAACTGTGCAGGGTAGTTGAACAGATAGGGCAAGAGCATATCTGCAAAGCTAAACCAGAGAAACGTGACAAACTAGTAAGGGTGATTCATCACAACTTGCTACTCCCAAGTAAATGATTTGGCTTTTGAAGATTTTATACCAGGCATAACAAAGAAAAATGCCATTAGGACAGCAACAAGAGTGAATGAAAACAATAGCCAAGAGATATCAGATTCCAATACTTCCAATGATGAATACTATGTGTATTGTCCTAAACTCTTCCAGGACAATGAGCAATGCATAGCTTCCCAATTAGGATCCCAATTAGGATCCGGGGCTGAGGAATTCTGACCTAGTGACCCTAGCCTTTCACCTGGAGAAGTCAAGAAATGCCAGATGAAGTAGTTTTGAAACCACCCACAGATGTTGTGGAAGAAAGTATTCCAAAATCACTTCAGCAAGAGCCAGAATTACAACCAGAGGATGAGACAGCTGCACCAACACCCGATGAACTGGTGAGAGAAGGAAACCTGTCCTCTAAACAAAGATATTCTTGAAGAACATGTTAATCAAAGGAGATATTAACATATGATACACTTGACAACCCTTCTTTTTATAAGCAGGATGTTTCCACAAATATGACCTAACAGCGTCATATGTCCAACATAACCAACATTTGCAGTTTCCTCATGTTCATATTTCTTGCCATGGACATATGCCAATGGTTATCTAGAAGATACGGGCTTTGAATATTTCTCATTTATGCTGTCAGGAGACATTTATTTAAAGAGCTGATGTATGTAGCAGGTAAATTAATAAACCTCCATGTAAAGCTTTAATGATTTCTAGTGTGACTTCAGGAGTCTATACCAACAAGCTCACATTAAACTAACATGTGTTTTCTGTCTCCTTTTTTAAATACAGGTTAGTCACATTTTGTTTATGCTATCTTTGTTTAGTTTTGTGTGTGTTTCTCACTTGCTCTGTTCATTATCCTATATGTTAGTAAAGGTAATTTTCTAACAAAAATTGATGCACTTTTCCATGTGGCCAGTGCTGCCCCTACAAAGAAAGTAATTATCTGTATAATGTGATCTATTCTGTTTAACACAATAAACTCAGAATTTAAGTGTTTTTCTGTCTTCTGTCTCCTCTTAAAAAAACAGATCTTGCAGGTTACCTCTTTGTCATACCTCGCACTCAGATCACATATAATCCTGTAACAACTCCACTGATTATGTTGTTTTGGCTGTCCTTGGATTGCATGGCTTTCAATGTACCATAATTTTGGCAGGTTCACTCTTTCCCAAAAATTCATAAAAATCATGGGGAGTTTTTTATGCTGTATCCATCAATCCTTCAAGCATTTCCCCAACAGCATTACTGCTGACCAATTTCCATCTGCTTTGATATAGCCCTCATCTGTTAGGTGGGTTCCCTTTACCTACCTTTTTGGAGAATGTTTGGTATTATTATTTATTTATCTATTTATTTATTTTTGGTTTGGCATAATAGATTCCTTATGCTATAATTATACATTTGTTGTTTTCCTATGCTCTTTAGCAATTAGATGGTGCCACCTGAATTGTGCTCCAACACCTGCCCCCAGGAACAGACACTACATGCTTTTTGGCCTGGTTTCTCCCCTCGGAGCTGTTGGACCCCCATTGGTTTAGAGAGTTTACCTGGTTACAGCGCCTTGAAAAAGTATTCATACCCCTTGAAATTTTTTTCATGTTACAAGCAAAAACATAATTGTATTTTAGTAGGATTTTATATGATAGACCAAACAAAGAGGCACATAATTGTGAAGAGGCAGGAAAATTATAAATGTTTTTTTTAACCGCTTGCCGCCCTGCCACTGTATATATACGTGTGCAGGGCGGCAGTGGAGCGCAAAAGCACGTTTTAAAACGGGCTCCGCTCTCCCGACACTTTCGCGGGTAGGGGGCGCGCGCGCTCCCGCCGACCCGCGGGTGACCATTTGATCCAGGAGGGATCAATCATTAGATTTCAGCCAGTGAATTCTGGCTGAAATCGGATGATCGGTCCCTGTCCTATCCTGTCCTGTGTTGACATTTACACAGGGCAGGATATGATGTAATTCTTCTCTGCCTGGACACATTCCGTTCCAGACAGAGAAGAAGAAACATTTAAACGTGAGTAAAACAGCACACTGACAGTTAGAAACAATCTAGAGGACACATTTAACCCTCTGATCCCCCCCCCCAGTTAACCCCTTCACTGCCCTGTCACCAGTGTCACTGATCAGTGAAGCGATTTTTACTGATCACTGTATCAGTGTCGCTGGCGACTTCCAATAGTGCTAGCGCCCCTCCCAGATAGCGCCAGTTTGCCCACCAGTACACCAATAAAGCCGTTTAAAAAACCCCTTAATCCCCCCCCCCCCAGTTAACCCCTTCACTGCCCTGTCACCAGTGTCACTGATCAGTGAAGCGATTTTTACTGATCACTGTATCAGTGTCGCTGGCGACTTCCGATAGTGTTAGCGCCCCTCCCAGATAGCGCCAGATTGCCCGCTAATACACCAGTAGTCCCGTCTAACCCCTTGATCGCCTTTTCCCCCCTGAGTTGACCCCTTCACTGCCCTGTCACCAGTGTCACTGATCAGTGAACCGATTTTTTACTGATCACTGTATCAGTGTCGCTGGCGACTTCCATTAGTGTTAGCGCCCCTCCCAGATAGCGCCAGATTGCCCGCTAATACACCAGTAGTCCCGTCTGACCCCTTGATCGCCCCCCCCCCGAGTTGACCCCCCTTCACTGCCCTGTCACCAGTGTCACTGATCAGCTCTCCACTCAGCTGCTGACCGTCTGTACGACAGTATCCTTCCACTGTCATGCCCTGACCTGGCCACTACTGCGTACAACAACTCGCTGTCAGCTGCCCTAGACTCCTTAGCACCCCTAACCACACGTAGCATTAGACCCCGACCGCTTCAATCCTGGCAGAATGACCACACTAAAAATCTGAAATGACGCAGTCGCACGCTGGAATGATTATGGCGCAAAACCAGATCCCCTCGAGCGTTCTCCCTCTACAAATCCACCTTCCTCACCTACACCTCCTCCCTCCACGCCGCCAAGCAAGCCTACTTCATAAACCCTCATTAGCACCCTCTCCACCTGTCCTCACCTGTTCTCCACTTTCAACTCCCTACTCTCTCCCCACCCCCACCCCCCCCACCCAGTACCTCACTCACCGCCCACGAGATTGCCAATCACTTCCAAAACAAGATTGACGCAATCTGAAAGAACATTGCCAATACTCAATCTACCTCCCCACCTAGCCTCCCTCCCACCATTATCCCATCAACTCTCCCCTCCTCTGACCTCGCAACCGCCCTGCCCCCCACCACACCTAACATCCTGCACACTATAACCTCCCCAACACTCCGCTCCTTCAGCCCTGCTACCACTGAGGAGGTCACTAAGGTCTTCTCAGAAGCCCACCTCACCACTTGCCCCCTTGACCCTGTCCCCACACAACTCCTCCGGTCACCCTCCTCCTCCATCCTACGCTCCCTCACCCACATCTTCAATCTCTCCCTCTCTACTGTCATATTTCCCCTCCCCCCTAAAGCACGCGTACATCACCCCCATGCTCAAAAAAACCCTCCCTGGACCCCACCGACCTGAACAACCTTAGACCCATCTCCCTGCTGCCATTCACATCCAAGCTCCTTGAGCACTTAGTCTACAATCGCCTAAGCTCCCACTTCACTGACAACAACCTCCTCGATCCTCTACAGTCTGGCTTCTGTCCCCTACACTCCACCGAAACTGCCCTACTCAAAATCACTAACGACCTGCTAACCACCAAAGCTAATGGCCACTACTCAGTTCTCCTACTCCTCGACCTCTCTGCGGCCTTCGACTCAGTTGACCACCCCCTCCTCCTTAATAAACTACACTCCCTTGGCATCAGAGACTCTGCTCTCTCCTAGCTTTCCTCCTATCTATCCCAACGCTCCTTCAGCATTTCCTATAATGCTACCACCTCCCCCTCTCTCTCCCTCTCTGTTGGGGTCCCCCAAGGCTCTGTCCTCGGGCCCCTTCTTAATAAACCACCCCCTCCTCCTTAATAAACTACACTCCCTTGGCATCAGAGACTCTGCTCTCTCCTAGCTTTCCTCCTATCTATCCCAA